GGTCAAACTTCACCAGTTGTTTACCGCAATTTCGGTCATAAAAAAAAAAACAAGCCGGCCTCCTGTCTGCGGCACTGTCTGCGGTCAGCTACAATTTGGGAGAGGAGCAGCAGAGCGTCTGTGGAGGGGGCGGGGACGTCTGGAGCCGGGGTATTGCATTGCACTCATGCCGCTGATTTTGTGCAGCTTTTTTTGATGCAAAGCCTTATAGAATCTAGAACGCAGGGGTATTATTATTTTTCAGTGAATGAGGTTTTAATAGGAATAGGTGAAGTGCAACTTTTCTACTTCTGTTATTTGCTGTTGTTTTAAAAAACAAAATGCACAACGATATTACAGCTTTCATTGATTTATTTCAAATTTGAAACATTGTCTAGCCTGAAAGGTGTAAAAAAAAAATAGATAAAATGAACCAATTAATCGAATCGTATCGTGGTGTATTGAGTATCGATAATAATAATCGAATCGTTGGGTCAGGAAATCAATACTGAATTGAATCACCATGATGGATGTGATTTACACCCTTAATATTTATTGTATAAGCATTGAAACTAAATGTATCAAATAAAGTCAGTTGTTACGGTACAACTAATGGTGGATCCCTTTAAAGGCCTCTCCTAAAAAAAAGGTGTTTGTTAAAATGGTTGCAGAAGCTAATTTATCCAGCACTAAGCACAAAAGCAAATGAATCCAACTAGTGTGCCGACTTTCAGCAGGACCCCACTGAAACATTTAACATATTGCAAGGTAAATACAAAGCACTGTTGCAGGACAGAAAACCAGTAAGATTAATGTTTTTTGCACAAACCAAAGACGATAATTTATTTATACTCAATTAAATTCAAAGAAATGCTCCTGAAAGCAACCCAATAAAAATCCCATGGCTTAGACATATCTTAGAATTATAGGGAAGTTCACTTTTATGATCAAAAAGATGAGTTCAAATAGTTTGTATATAAACTAGAGATGTGCTGATTTTTGCAATAATGATCAGAGTTTTCTACATGGGAATAAATCGCAAGAAATTTTTTCGCATGACTAAATTTTTTCTTTTTTTTTTTATTAGATTGGATAACATGCCAGGACCGGCTAACTTCTGAGTGACAATCTCAAAGCAGAGAAGGCATCTTCAACTTCTTTAATACATTTAAAGGGAATATTTGCCTTTATTCCCTCCGGCTCTTCACACAAGACGGGCAGCAGGAAGATAAGGCAAATATCTTTTACTGTGAGCAATATTAAGTGACATATTCCTCCTGAGGGTTTAGGTGCAATGGTTGTTACTCCTATAGATCTGCATAATCAGGAGTTCTTCAAAGACTAGCATAAAGATAAAAGCAGAGCTTGCCTGTGGACTGTAAAATCTGCAAGCATCTGTGTTGCTTTTTGTATTTTCTTGCAGAAGTATGATGCCAATACAAAGAGAGAAAGTGAATTTAGAAACACAGACTGACTATAAAAGCAGATTTCTCTTGGAGTTTATCGATCGATTTGTCAGCAGCTGACTAATGAAGCTGTTAAATGGTTTTCCTTAGCAAAGTTCATGTGGATTCCACTGGGTTTAACCAACAGCAACACCACAAAGAGCCAGTGAACCAAAGATTTTAGAAGTTAATTCAGTTCGGTGAAGCCACACACAGCATTTTGATAACCTTTGGCTGGGCTCAACTGTTGCATTATGTACAGTATTTGCATTTACTAACAAAAAGAGATGCAGTAGTTTTCATGCCCTACAAACTGCTGCACATTTTGCATAATTCGAACCTCAGACTTTACCATTTAAAGGTGTCATCACCCCAAAATCTGACCTTTTCATGTAAGCATGAGTGCATCGATTTTGGGCTTCAGTTAAAACCTGCTGGAAAATCTTTTGTTTGCTTTAACCAGAAGTAGACAAGACCATGCTTTCTACAAAGCAGGAATTTGTTCCTCCTCCTACATTTACGTCATCATAGAGTGGTGCTAACTTTAGCCTTAGTTGCTATCACCACTCCCGTCTCTATTCCATCAAATGAGGAAATTGCAATGATCAGGCAGCTGGTAAGTGATGCTGCTTATGTAAGAGACCGGGAAAGGACGGTAAAGGAACCATGGCTAACTGCTAATGTTGCTAACGATACATTCACATGAATGCGCATATACACCAGTCAAAATGCCATGCTTATCCTCAGGATAAAAAAAGGGGATGAATGTTTATAATGAGCTCTATTTATTAATTTTTCCTGCTAAGATGATTAAACATGAACCTAAAGATACATTTAGAGGGACTGTTTATGCTAAGTACCAGCCAGGTTTTGTCTTTCACACTGTCTGTTAGAAATAATACATTAGACTAAACTCTGATACCCACTGCAAGAGACTAGAGTAGAGTTCACACCTGTCTCATTCAATCCAAGTATAAATCCAGATGTTCTGAAAATGCTTGAGATTTGTCAGAGAGTAAACAACAATATGAAGAGCAATAACATGCAGGTCAGGGAGAGAGTTGGGGAGAAAAAAGCTCAGATGGGTTATCACACTTTCAAGTTGTCAGGCAAAATTTGCATATATATATATATATATATTTATTTAATCATTTGATAGCCCCTCTGTTTCTGTTTTGCCTTTTTGTTAACCTAGGTTGGTGGGTTGATTTTATTCTGAAATTCACTGGGAGTTTTTCCTTCCCGGCACCCAGCTTTTCTTTTTGACTTACGGAAACACTTGATCTGCACGCCGCACCCAGACTGGCTGTGATGACGTGAGTGTTGCTTGATTTGATCGCTTTGTGGTACCTGCACCCACAAAACACCATATCGTCTGCACCGCCATCAGTGTGAGCGCAGCGTAAAGCAGATTCTGAAACATTATCCCAAATCCAACTATATCCCAGTTGGTTAAAATGATTGAATCCTTTGAGTGAACCAACTGAATCAAGTCAGTTTAACTTGAAATGTCTTAACTCTGTTCTGCTACACAATCAGTGGCATCTTTTACTCTGAGCTAACAGTTATTGTCATAAAAAAATGCTACCATCACCATGACTTTAGCCTGTTAACTGGCCACACTAAAGTCCTCCAAAATGACTTTGATATACCTGAAAAAGCCTAAATTAAATCAGCTGCTGTTCTTTAACCCTTGGGTCTAGTTTACCATGTGAAACCATTGTAATGGTGGCTATAGCTTTCTTGTGGAGGTAGATTGCATGCATATATTATGGATTTTGGCGTAAAATTCATACTGAAAAGTCATACTTTTTTATCTGAGCTGACTGACTTGCAATTTCCAAGACCATCTGATCTCTATTACTTATTTTGAATGCAGTAAAACAATGCAGTAGCATGAAATAAATTATTTTGGGGATGGAATCTTAAAAAAAAAAAAAAAAAAAGTTTAATAAACCGATTCTAGGGGACGTAATACAATCAAAAGAAATCTCATTTATTTAGTCCATCATCAGAACATATAATGAACCAAAAAGCCACAAAGAGAGAAATGTAGCAGTCAAGAAACCCAAAGTGACTCTTGCAGAGCTGCAAAGATCCAGAGTTCAGGAGGGAGAAACTCAATACTACAGATATGAGTCATAAAAACTATGATCCTGTCCTTTTATAAAAAAGAAAGCAACAATTGAACAAAAGCATGAAGACAAAACTGCAAGAAGTAATAAAGGGCACAGATGTGGAAGACAACAAGGAGAAAAAAATATATATTCATGGGCTGCAAAACTTATACTGCCAATAAAAACAAACCCCATCCACACAGTGAAGCATGGTGGTGGCAGCATCACGCTGTGGGCGGGTCCTTTTCCTTAAGCTGGAACATGGAGACTTATCAGGGTGGATTGAGCTAAAGCCTGGAGGAAAACCTGTGTAGAGGTAGATCCTCTCTAACCGGATTAGTTTTATATTTTCTGCAGAAATTGGGCAAACATTTCAATCAGCGGATGTGGAGAGCATGAAATTTGTTGTTGCAACTCAAAAAAATCCTAAAAATCAAGTGATGAGAATAACAGGTCTGCTCCCACTAAGAGATCTGAGTTATCTGGGAAGAACCAGAGGGTGAGTTTTAGTTGGGTTGACCAAAGTACGACTAAAACCTCCAAACACATCTTCTACACACAATCCAACAATTGCTCCATCTGACTGGGCTGACAGAGAGCAACCTGCTGAGAGGGACACAAAGAAAATCCAGGGAACTACTGCATACAACGAGAAGAAAAGTGCTCACCAAGCAGTAAACGTTTACTGCTCGTAGAGCAAGGTTTATAATGGGCTCAAACTCTCATTCAAATACACTAATCCTGCAGCCAATTACTCAGACTGAGAGTTAAAGTGTCTTAAATATTGGATGGAGTCCGGCAGCTCTTAGGGAGGAGTTTCTCTAGGGAATAACAGACATAAAGAGGATCCAGAAACCAAGCTATAAACTTCTTCCACATTAATAATCCTTTATCTCCTAACATATGAATCTCAGAGATTTCCCTTGGCACAAACTTAAGAGCTCATCTTTAAAATACACAGAGAGAAAGAGAATACACTTCTATTCCTTTGTCATATATCCAATCCAGGGGTGCGTGGAAATCAATTTTTTACACTGAAGAAGCCGATTGTTACACAAATGGAAGGCAGCAGAGTGGGGGATAAAAGTGCAAACCTTAGGGAGGAAGATAAGGCTTATCAGAGCTACAATCAAGGTGGGAACATGGTCACTGAGCAAAGCAATCCAGGTGCCCATGAAGATCCAGGACGCATTGAAACAAAGAGATTCAACCTTACTGATAAAAACTGCACAAAAACATTCTTTATTTTTATTTTTAGACTCCAATGTTAGTGAAAAGCATGCATTTCGTGTCAGTAAACATGATGCACATGCAAAGGTATGCAGACAAAGCCACCAAAGGGCACGGTGCTCCCACATTTGAATGCAAAACAGCGCAGCATCAGAAACAACTTGTTTGTTGGCTTCAGGGCGCAAACAGATCCACATGTGTAGGACATCACATTAAAGGCAGCACTCACCGTCCAGCTGTAGCTCTCTATGTCTGACCCAGTGTCGGTGCTCCGCTCCGGACTGGGGGGCAGTTGGTGCGCGTTTGGGCTTGTTTTGAAGGCGGCGTGGCTCTTCCAGTGTTTCCCCCCAACAGGAGAGAGAGAACAACAAAGGAGAGAGCCCTCCCACCTTATCTCCCACTCCCACTAATGATACAGGGTTTATTATGCCTTAAAGCAGGGCTGTGGACGCAGTCAGGAAGCAGGCGGAGCTGTGAGCGGCTCCAGCAGGCTGTGGACTCCTGCTCCAGCGCTGCGCTCCGGAGGCTGACAGGCTGCTGGCTTTGCTGTGTGCTGGAAGAAAGGAGAGAAATCACACCCTGCTGGAGAGCTGTGGTACTGCATGTAGGAAAAGTGGGATTTTATTCCCTCCCACTGACCGCTCATTTAGTATGGAAGCCCGTTTCCGCCACATGAAAGTAAATAAATGCCAAATAGAAAGTCATAATTATGAGATACAAAGTCATAATTTCAACTTTCAAACAGAGGCGTAGCCAGAACATTTTTCATAAGGGTGGCCAAGCAATAACCAGTGTACATTGTAGCCTGACGTAGTCCTACTCAATTCTAGTCCGAATATGAGTCTGATACTGCTCCATAGAGCTGTGAT